GTCCCTGAGCCCTGCGGCCCGCCCCCCGCCGAGCCAAGTAGGGCCTGGGTGGCCTTGGCCTCGGGCGCCCCGAGTGCTCCACCAGACACCTCTTAACGCCTGGCCTGCTTTCGGGGCCTAGGAGCGGGAGGAAATCCGAGGCGCACCCCTCCCGGAAGAGTGCGGCCTGGAGGAAGGGTGCTGGGAATCTGGGGTGGGGGCCCCCAGTTAATTTTCGGGCGCTGAGAGGCCCCTCCCCCAATAGGACTTTGAGAGGAGTCCTCACCCCCCACACTTGGGGAAGGAATTCCCTAGGACAGGTTCTCCCCCCTCACGGAGGCAGTTGGGGCGCTCGGGTGTGCACCCCCCTCCTGGCGCTTTGGAGCGGCGGTAGAGGGCGCACCCTGCCCCCCACCAAGGGCGGGCTTTGAAACGCACCTCCACAGCCTGGGGGTGGTGAGGGATGGAGCGGCTCGGGGCGCACCCACCCGTCGGCTTCCCCGGGAGAGGCGGGGGCAGGAAGCGAGGGCGGGGACCGCGCCTGGGGCAGTAAACACCGGCGGGGNCCTTATCCCGGCCGTCCCCTCCCCACAGGGCTCGTCGCACCTACCCCAGCAACTCAAATTTACCACCTCGGACTCCTGCGACCGCATCAAAGATGAGTTTCAGCTGCTGCAAGCTCAGTACCACAGGTGAGCTGGGGGCACAGGTCCCTGCCCAGGGAAAGGTGGAGCCCCCAGCGCAGATGGCAAGAAGGAGGGCTGGAACGGAGGTGGTGGGCCTTGCTATATACAAATATTTGAGAAAATGTAGTTGTAGAGTGTCCTATTGTATGGCAGTTGCTGTCCTTGGCAGTTACCAATATTACTCAGTCTTCAGAGCAGCCCATTTCACAGATAAGAAAACGGAGGCACAAAATTAAATAAGCTCTATGGCTTAAGAACCCCACTCCCCACCCCAGTCTCCACTGGATTGAAAATCTAAACAACTGGAGTTGGGGGTGGACTCCCACCTCCAAAAGAAAAAATAATTAAGAAATTCCCCAAAAGAAGAAATTCTGCAGCCTGTTATCTCTCTGCCCAGTTCTGGGGAAAGGATTCCTGGCATCCAACAGATTTTCATTCTCCTTCCAGAATTTAATCTTCTAACTTTGCCATGTACTGGGATCTAAGGGGAAGGAACTATTACTATCTGCATTTTACACTTAGAGAAACTAAGCCCAGAGAGCTTAGGGATATCTAGGGGAAGCACAGCAAGGAAGTGACAGAACTGATATTTGCACCCAATTTCTGTATTAAAAAATGCAAATCCTCAACGGCTCTGTTATAGAGGAGAGCTTTGCCAGGCCCTCTCTAGACCTCAGTTTACCCACACAAAAGGATCCAATCTCTTGGGATACTTCCCATGCTCCCAAAGTGTTAAATACTGAATATACATCCTTTTATTTAATCTTCCTTGCTCTTCTATTATTGTGCTCATTTCAAAGATGAGGAAATTGAGGCATTGATGGTTGAAGGGCAGGCACAGGGACTTTGTTCTGATCCCATGATATGGAGAGTTTTGGGCCTTTTCCTGACAGGCCTGGCCTTTCTGAGCCCCTACTGGTCCTCCCCTCCTGTCTGGCCCATGCCCACCTTACAGTGAGCACTAGGACTGCCAGTTGCTGACCAAGGGTCACAATGCTGCTACAGACTGTGTCCTTGGGTAAACCAGACCCCTCTCTGAGCTTCGGGGATTCCATCCACTGGGCCTGGACTTCCCACTATACAATGAAGGATCCTACCATGTTGGCACACAGGATCTGCAAGGCCCTGAAGAAGAGCCAGAAATCCAGAATTTGAGATGAAGTTGCCTGTTGTTGTTTTTTTTAATTTATTGATTTTTTTTTTTTTTTAGAGAGAGGAGTGGGGGGGGAGACATCACTTTGTTGTTCCACTTATTTATACATTCATTGGTTGATTCTTGTATGTACCCTGACTGGGATTGAAACCCGCAACCTTGGTATGTCTGGACGATGCTCTAACCAACTGAGCTACCAGCCAGGGTTGCCTGTTTGTTTGTTTTTTAAATGGTGACAACAAAAGAACATTTTTTTTAAATCAGAGAAAACAAACTCAAGGGGGTCACAACAACCCTAGCCATGGCTCATCTCTGAACTGGGGTATACAGTTATGGTCAGTCTGGCACCGTGAAATACCAGGTTCCTGGGGTGACTGTGAGACCAACAAGCATCTATTGGGTGCTTAAAGTATGCCAGGCATTATTCTAAGGACATTTCTGGTCTCATTCCATTTCATTCTCATCACCCCACCAGGGGAGGTTGGTACTTTAACAAGCACAGAGACCAAGGCCCAGAGAGTTAGAAGGGTTTGCTTTCCCAGAATCACACAGCATCCAAGTCCCAGGGCTGAACTTTGAACCCAGTCTATCTGGATTCTGTACTGTCAGCCTCTCTACTGAGACCCTCATGGGGGGGGGAGGCACTTTAAGAAATGCCTGAAGCTCCTCCTTGCTGGGGAGCCTGAGAGAGGCTAGGGGTTCACCGTCTCTTACTACCCAACAGTAGAACTTTTACCCCTTAGTGAAATCAAGGCCATAAGAGGTGCTGGGCCCCATTGGAGATTCCTTGGTGAGTCCAACCCAGAGCCCTATCAGCCAGCCCTTGGCCCTCTCCTGGGCCCCTTTACAGTTTCTATTTGTCCCTCCCGCTTGTTGGAGAGTTTTCCCAGTGGTTGAGAGTGTGGCTCTGAAGCCAGCTTCCTGTCTGTGTGGCCTTGAGCCAGTTACTCAACCTCTCTGGGTGTCCATTGCATCATCTATAAAATGAGTGATGCTCATAGTACTGACCTCATCTGATTTTGGGATGGGTAAAAGGTTGTTTGAATCCCTGGCTGACCCACAGTCAGGGCGTTTGCTTTGAGTTGTTTTTATTATTATCATCACCATCGTCTTCTTCACCACCAGGTCTGCAAGGTTAGTTTCCTAATGCCCATTTTGCAGTTAAGGAACTTGAGGTTCCCCCACCCCATCCTCACAGGAGAGATCATGTTTGTCTCCTGTCAAAAGTTTGGGGCTCAGCCCAGCCCCCACCCCCTCTCCCCATGTTCTTTTTCAGCCTGAAGCTCGAATGTGACAAGCTGGCAAGCGAGAAGTCAGAGATGCAGCGTCATTATGTGATGGTGAGCTGGCTAAGGTCCAATGGGTGGGGATGGAGGGACCCCAGACTGTCCTCCACCACCAGCAGCTGCTGCCCAAACCCTAGCTACCTCCTCTGGGAAGTGTGAAGATTCAGGGTCCACCTTGCTGGCCTGGCTGCTGGCCCAGACAGTTGTGGAGTTGCCAAACCACCGGGTTGCAGCCTGGGCCTGCCAGGTCCCCTGGCTGTCCTTGGCAGCCAGCAGAGGCGGCAGCGGCTGTGGAAGCCAGGAACTGACGTGGGGGAGCAGCCGGATCCCCGCCCCCACGATCCAGGCATCCCATTGCTTAACCCCTCCTCTCCCAAACTTTGGGATGCTGGGGCTTTCCCCTGTCCCCCAGGAGGCTGACATCCTTTGAGGTTGGTGGGAAGGGAGGGATAACAAGTCATTCTTTGGACTGACATTTGAGACCCTGCCATCCACACTGCCAGAATCACTTGCTATTTCATACCCACCAGGTGGCGAGTTCTGCATCAAAAACCCTTGCCTTGGCCCAGTCTCTAGCCCAGCTTTCCCAGGCTGTGGGGAGGCAGAGCCAGAAACTGAAGCTCCCAGCTCCAGAGGGAAGGGGCTGGGCAGAGAGGGACCCAGAAGGGACTGGGGGACTCCAGAGGGAAGCCACTGCCTGAAGAAAGCAGCTTGGAGAATTGGGGGCATTGCCCTTGGGGTCTTGAAGAATGAGTAGGAGCTTGGGGG